ATACACCAATATATTATTCTTAGAAAAATATGATGTAATGAAGTTTGTGTCCAATGTTTTAGGTGTCAGTTGATAATCAAATGACAAAACTTCAACATTCCAAACGTTAAAAAAACATGTTTTAAACTATTCATTTTACACATTTGAAGATCTCGAAAGAAATATGGGTCTCAAAACTAAAGAATACACTTCAAACTATGGCTTGCGTGCTGTGGCGCTGCCCATCGACTAAATAGTTATGACAGAGATACGACAGTGTCAGAGGTGTCATAACTCCTTAGTCAGGATGTTACTTTTACTTACTTTACTTTAATATACAATGTTGTAGGTCTAAGCCTGTTCATCGATCCAGGATTCTTCCATGGTAACTGCGATTTGTGGAGGGAGGAGGTTGACGTGTAATAACATAAAACAACAGACAACACCTAGACCGGCTCATACAGAAGGCTAGCATTCTTTGACCAGTGACTATCAAGTCTATTCTTAAACGAGTTTACCGACTCAGCTACCACAACGCTTTCTGGGAGAACGTTCCACAGCTCCACGACTCTATTGGAATTCCAGACAACTCGCCACAAAGACAACCAGCCCCAAGACAACCCGCCACAATACCCTGGACATCTCGCCACAATACTCAGGACAACTCGCCACAGGCGAGTTGTCCAGGGTGGGGTGCCTTTTCGGACAACTCGCCACCCTTTTTTCCCCTCATGATTTCTAGATCTAAAATCCCTCGTCTTAGATGAAATTATCATTTTTCATGATTTTCGTGCTTTTATAAACACAGTCTTTACAAAGAATAGAGAATATAAAAGCTGACTTCCCTTGCAACAATAATATATTTTTGACAAACCGAAGGCATACGATCGCCAGATCATTGCGATAACTTCTCGGTATTTACATCTAGAGGCTTATAGCAGCTGCATTTTTCTGTCTCAGAAATTGTTTAATGGTCACAGGATACTGGAAGCACTGGCGTACTGATGGGGGGGGGGGGGATGGTTATTTGACCCGCGAAATAAAATTGAAATGTGATTTATTTCTAGATTTTCTGTGTTAGTTTCGTCAGAGGCGGCATTCTTCATTGGGAGGGGGGACACTGTGCCCCCACTTTTTCAGGTTCCCCTAAAGTGCCCCCTTTATCCTTTTCCCTTCTGATAATTTTTAATGGTAGGAAAAACTAGGAATTCATGAAAGGGTACTGGAAGTAGGGTGTCTGAACGATTTTTCAATTTTCAATTTGGGATCGTTTTTCACCATTTTTGTTTGTTATTTGAATAAAAAATGTAATCAGAATAATACATTTCAAATTTCAAGTCTCACCGATGTTTCTATCAAAAGATACAGCCCCTCCAAAACGCTGGTATATTCATATCATTTTGGTCAAAATCGACGAAAAAGACGTCCACGCAGAGTGTTGTTGTTTTGCTAAATTCAGACAAACAGCTGTATCGCGCGATATGCAAGTGTATGCATATCGTACGCATGTTGCTAAGCCAATGCGAGACTTGCAGCTTGAGCCACGCTGTCTCCGCGATATGTGCCATTGACTAGTACGTTCGCGCCATAGAACCCGGAAGTGAATACACGTTATAGTCAATGGCAATATCGCGGAGACAACGCAGCGAACAGCTATCCATACTTTCATTTACTATTCGCGCAGATGTTACGCGATGTAACCATGGTTTGGACTGAGCGGAGCTCACGCCTCCCTAATTAGCTGATTCCAAAAATGTGGGAAGGGTATTTTTAAACTGTTGGGGCGAGTGATCTCTTGGGGCTAGCGAAAAAATAAGTTCATACATATACATATTTTCCTTACGTCTAGCCGGACATAGGCCCGGGGGGCGCAGCTCAGGAAAGTGGCAAATTTTGGAGCTAGGATGCAAACAACATTTAAATCGCTGTTTTGACAAAGATATTTTTAGAATTTCGGGGGTGCGCCCCCTTGGGGAATATGGAGAAAAACCTGCTCTTTCATATGACACCTCATTTATTGAGTTTCACCTTCAGGATCACAAGCCCCAAAGGTTTGAATTTTTTTCATAAAATCATTGACCAAATTTCATGGTCGCGCAATGCACGTAGACTGCATAGGGATGTGTGCAATCTCTATGGGAAGTATTTTAGCACACAACATCGGGTGCGCGATCAGACACCCTACTGGAAGCACTGGCGTCCTGATGGGGGAGTGGGCAGTTGACCTGCGAAATAAAATTGAAATGTGGTTTATTTCTAGATCTTCTAGGTTAGTTTTGCACAGTCCAAAATAGATTCTTGTTGCAGGTCTTGTTGCAAGCGCAAGGAAAATCATCTTTAATCTTTAGAACAGCTCTCAAAATACTCACAATTTCCATGTTTCCTGTCAATGCTGTGTTTATAAAAGAATAATGAATACATAAAATGACAATTTCATCTAAGATCATGAAGATCATGACGATGAGGGATTTTAGATCTAGAAATCATGAGGGGAAAAAAGTGTGGCGAGTTGTCCGAAAAGGCACCCCACCCTGGACAACTCGCCTGTGGCGAGTTGTCCAGGGTATTGTGGCGAGATGTCCAGGGTATTGTGGCGGGTTGTCTTGCCTGGGGCGGGTTGTCTTTGTGGCGAGTTGTCTGGACCCCCTCTATTGCTAAAAAAAGTATATTCTGATATCTAGTCTTGAATATTTCTTTTCCAGTTTCCCAGAGTGACCTCAAGTTCTATCTTCTGTACTCAACTTAAAGGGAATCTCTTGCACATTGTACAAGCCATTCAAGTACTGTATGAAGGGGTGCCCAAAGTTCGCGGATATTTTTCTTTTCTTGCAAATTACAAAAAATCCAGATCAACATATATCATGTTCCATACGTCATAAGATTCGTAATTTATCATATAATCAGATTATATAACATTCCAATGCTTTATTTCCTTCAAATCAATGATAAGACGAGAATATCGGAAGCCTTACCACTACCGACGTCCGTCAAAAAGTGTGACCTAAGTTCGCGCATGATATTTACTGCCCTCTTGTGATGGGCTTTATTATATGTAAACATTCCAAAAAGTTACGTAGTCTCAGTCAGAAGCCGAACTTTATATTGAAACTTTGAAAAAGATAATAATTTCTCTCTATCATTGAAATATTGCCCGATAAAAATACCCTTGTTAAATTTTGCAAAAAAAAGACAATATTTTTCAATGTTTATGTGTTAATGACAATGTAGTCCCTATCTGCATGCCATTTGTTTGTTTGAAAAAAATATCATGTGTCTCCTTTTTATATGTCAGCCATTCACGAGTTCGCGCTCTTTTCTCTCTGTCTCTCCACTTTCCCCTTTTAAATTTGTATTCTATAACGAAACCCATAGATTCATTGAAATTCACAAACACAGATACGGTGGAAGCAGGCGCGCAGGTTCCGTTTTTTGCGTAAGAAATTGGAATTTTATCATTATTTTTCGGAGTCGATCCCTCTAATAAACTGATTTTCATATAAAAAAAACACAATTTGTTATGATAAAAAGCGTGAAAAAGCTAGCTTATTCACATTTTTATGTCGCATTTTGAACTTTGGAGTTGTCGACGGTGCTCAAAGATTTCGTTGTCTCAGTCCCACACAGGCATCGCGTATCGTTCTGCTGTTATAAGCGCTTTTAGTGTTAGTACGCGAACTTTGGTCACGCGCGAACTTTGGTCACACCACCATACACATTGATCATGTCCCCCCTTCTACGACTACGCCGGTGAACAAGAGTTGGTAGACCTAATTTGAGTTTGGTCAAGCGCTCCTGGCAAGATAAATTTCTCAGGCCAGGAATAATCTTTGTTGCACGTCTTTCTACGCTTTCCAACATCCTCTGTTCTCCTAGTCTGTACGAGTGCCAGCTAGCGAAGCCCGAACTCCATAGTTTCCAAGGCCAAGGGGCAATGAAGTTTGAGCCTTGAGGGCGGCACCCGAGCCCGCGCCCGCGACCGAGCCTATCGCCGCACGCCGCGCCATGCATGCAGGCGAGTGAGCAGGGGCGCTGGTCCGAGAATAAGGATCGTCTTCATAAACGAGGATCGTCTTCTTTAACACTGACCGATGCGTCCTCAAAAATAAGGACCGTCTGCATTTTTGCAGACGTTTCATATTTTTGATCGGCGCATTGGCGATGCAAAAAACGGATTCTGCAATGATTTTCTTGATGCAATTTACATTGACTTTGTACAGAGACCTTCACATTATGAGCAATAAATCCTTGGGAAGACGGACAACCCTTAAAAGTAGACGGACAACTAGTCTAGGGTTATTTTCCCCCGGGGAATCCATTTTTGGCATCGCCAGCGGGCCGTTCTGTAACATGAAACCCCCAGAGAGCCGATGAAAAAAAACGTCCTCGAAAATGCAGACGACCCTTATTTTTGAGGACACATTTTGTCTTCGTTTATGAGGATATCCTCGTTTATGAGGACGATCCTCATTCTCGGACCAGCGCCCCTACTGTACTGGTGAGATCATCAATCTTCCCGTGAATTATTGCCATAGATCTAGACCTCTACAGTCTATTTTTATCTACTTACATCGTTCCCGAGTAGAAGCTCCTTTTTGACGAGTGAGCCGTCTAATGTTACAGACCAATAAATAAATTTCATTATGAATTGGTTTACAACTAGATCTAGTCTATCTGACGTTGACTGTGTAGGGCCTACGTACGTACTCAATCAATGCATCAAATTTCCACATTTAATAGAAGCAGACGATATTAATGTCAAAGGTCACATCTAAAGCGTTTCACTACTGCATTTATAACACAGTATCCTATTGGTTTGTATAAAAGGGGCGTGGCAGAACATCTAGTTTTTGAGCAAAATTTGTGTTTTCTAATGGTTTTGTGAATGCGGATTATATTTTAATCATGTAATTATCCTTTTAGATGATAAAATTAGATATCTTTGTGGAATATACTCAGTAACTTATGACTTGAACTCAGTATGAGAAATGGTAGTAATCGGAAACTGACCAATCAATAGCGCTCTTATAAAGGGCGCCTTGATTACTTCCTGCATGTAAGATGGGGCGAGTCTTTTTTCGCTATTGCCTATCAAACTCCAAGATCGTGACTTTTATCTTGTCTAGCTATTATTAAAGAGGGGGAACTGTCATTGAACGCATTGTTTTCTTTAATATTACAATATACTACTGGTGAGTATGATTGCCATTGAATGTTCTGATTTATTGCATCTATTCTTAACAAATTCTAGACTAATTCGTGTCATGTCATGATTTGCAAGTTGCAATGCAAGTAAAGTGCACATCATGTTTGTTGTTTCACTTGAGATTATGTGCATGAGTTGTGAGTGTGAGTGCAGTGATAACTGTTTGAATGAATTAGCTGGACCCTATGCTGTCTGTGCAGTTAATAATTAGGTGGGCTGTATCTAATACAGACCACCTTATAATTTTGTTAAAATTGCCTTTATTATTTCTTTATTATTTATTTTTCTTATTTCGACCCACTTTTTTGTGAGCAAGATAATTTGAAAATGGCTCAATCAAATATCTTAAAATTTGGCACACATATGTATAGGCATATGAACAAGGCACAGCAAAGTTTTCAACCTTGACCTTGACTGATGACGTCATCTAGGCGCCATTTTGTGAAATTTTCTGAAAATTTACTCATGATCATATTTTCATAACGGTAATTCATTTCTCATTCATATTTATCACGATCAAGGTCAATATCAGTCCGGTCAATTTCAGGTCAAAAAACGCGCGCGTGCGCGTACGTCTGCGCGTCAGTGCGCGCGCAAAATTTTTAAATGCTCAAATTCGTCTTAAATTTATTTTGCATACGTTTCAGGTCATTTTAAGCATTTTATAAAAAATCGCGCGTACGAGCATGCGCGCGCGTTTTCGCGCGTAACACCATTAAAAAACATAGAATCGCCATTTTTTTTTCTTTCATGATATTTCTCATATTTTTTCAAGGAATTTGATTCCATGTTTATCTCTTTATGACCATTATTAACAAGATGAGCGTAAATTCAAGATAATTGTCAGTGCGCGCGAGGTCTTTTAATACATAGCATATATGGGCAAAAACATGCCTATACAAAATCCGTTATAGCTCTTTGGAATGCACCGGGATCCTCAATTTTTTTCATATTAAGATAGAGTATGAGTCGGAAATATGATTCCATGTCTAGTTTGGCCATTAAGTGTATCGTGACATCATCACAATGGCCTTGGAACTCAAAATACGAATTTGCATATTATGACGTCAGCATATTTATGTAAAATTGATTGTATCTCTGTAAATATTGATCAATTTTCTTCAAAATTTCGAGTTGTAGCTAAGACAATTCTCTACAAGCGCAGTAATAACCATTTTTCATTTTGATGACGTCATCATAGTGAAAATTTTGATTAAAGGCCTCATGTCAAAAACTTCATAATTTGCGTGTTATGCCTATAGAAGGTGAATTTAGTTCACGTTATGAATCTACATGATATTGTCTTTTAAGAATTTGTAAGCAGTATGTCGCTTATTTTTGCTCTATTTTGTCTCAAATGTTAGTTGACCAGCCCACCTATACTTGTTCCAAACAAGTATTATATGTCTAGTTTTTCTTATTTCGACCCACTTTTTTGTGAGCAAGATAACTTGAAAATGGTTCAATCAAATACCTTGAAATTTAGCACACATATGTATAGGCATTAGAACAAAGCACAGAAATTTTTTCAACCATGACCTTGACTGAAGACGTCATCTAGGCGCCATTTTGTGAAATTTTCTGAAAATCAACTCATGGTCATATCTTCATAACAAAAGGCCATTTCTCATTCATATTTATCATGATCAAGGTCAATATCAGTCCGGACAATTTCAGGACAAAAAACGCGCGCGTGCGCGTACGTCCGCGCGTCAGTGCGCGCGCAAAATTTTAAAATGCTCAAAATCGTCTTAAATTTATTTTGCATACGTTTCAGGTCATTTTAAGCATTTTATAAAAAAATCGCGCACACGCGCATGCGTGCGCGTTTTCGCGCGTAACACCATTACACAACACAGAATCGCCATTTTTTTTCTTTCATGATAAATCCCATATTGGTTTAAACAATTTGATACTATGTTCATCTCTTTATGACTATGAATATTAAGATGAGCGTCCATTCAAGATAAATGTCCGTGCGCGCGAGCTCTTATAATACATAGCATATATGGGCAAAAACATGCCTATACAAAATCCATTATAGCTCTTTGAAATGCACCGAGACCCTCAATTTGTTTTCCATATTCTGATAGAGTATGAGTTGGAGATATGATTTCATGTCTCATTTGGCCATTAAGTGTATCGTGACATCATCACAATGGCCTTGGAACTCAAAATACGAATTTGCATATTATGACGTCAGCATATTTATGGAAAATTGATTGTATCTCTGTAAATATTGATCAATTTTCTTCAAAATTTCAATATGTTGTAGCTAAGACAATTCTCTACATGCTTGACAATAACCATTTTTCATTTTGATGACGTCATCATAGTGAAAATCTCGATTAAAGGCCTCATGTCAAACATTTCATAATTTGCGTTATCCCTATAGTAGGTGAATTTCGTTCACGTCATGAAACTACATGATATTGTTTTTTAAGAATTTTTAAGCAGTATCTCGCTTATTTTTGCTCTATTTTGTCTCAAATTTAAGTTGACCAGCCCACCTATACTTGTTCCAAACAAGTATTATATGTCTAGTTTTTCTTATTTCTACCCACTTTTTTGTGTTCAAGATAATTTGAAAATGGTTCAATCAAATACCTTGAAATTTGACACACATATGTATAGGCATATGAACAAAACACAGCAAACTTTTCAACCTTGACCTTGACTGATGACGTCATCTAGGCGCCATTTTTTTGAAATTTTCTGAAAATTTACTCATGATCATCTTTTCATAACGGTACGTCATTTCTCATTCATATTTATCATGATCAAGGTCAATATCAGTCCGGACAATTTCAGGACAAAAAACGCGCGCGTGCGCGTACGTCCGCGCGTCAGTGCGCGCGCAAAATTTTAAAATGCTCAAAATCGTCTTTAATTTATTTTGCATACGTTTCAGGTCATTTTAAGCATTTTATAAAAAAATCGCGCACACGCGCATGCGTGCGCGTTTTCGCGCGTAACACCATTACACAACGCAGAATCGCCATTTTTTTTCTTTCATGATAAATTCTATATTTGTTTAAACAATTTAATACTATGTTCATCTCTTTATGACTATTAATATTAAGATGAGCGTCCATTCAAGATAAATGTCCGTGCGCGCGAGCTCTTATAATACGTAGCATATATGGGCAAAAACATGCCTATACAAAATCCATTATAGCTCTTTGAAATGCACCGAGATCCTCAATTTTTTTTCATATTCTGATAGAGTATGAGTCGGAGATATGATTTCATGTCTCATTTGGCCATTAAGTGTATCGTGACATCATCACAATGGCCTTGGAACTCAAAATACGAATTTGCATATTATTACGTCAGCAATATGTAAAATTGATTGTATCTCTGTAAATATTGATCAATTTTCTTCAAAATTTCGATATGTTGTAGCTAAGACAATTCTCTACAAGCGCAGTAATAACTATTTTTTATTTTGATGACGTCATCATAGTGAAAATCTCGATTAAAGGCCTCATGTCAAACATTTCATAATTTCCGTTATCCCTATAGTAGGTGAATTTCGTTCACGTCATGAAACTACATGATATTGTTTTTTAAGAATTTTTAAGCAGTATCTCGCTTCAGTTATTTTTGCTCTATTTTGTCTCAAATTTAAGTTGACCAGCCCACCTATACTTGTTCCAAACAAGTATTATATGTCTAGTTAAATATTATATTTCACTTGAAATTGACAAGAATTATCATAATCCTTAAAATTACTTAGACTTTTCAAGAGAGTAGACCCTTCTACAGTAACTTGTAAATGTGCCAAAATTTTAAGTGCAAGTGTGCCGAAATTTAAGAACAATTTTATTTTGACCAGTTAACTTAGGTCTAGGTCTAGAACTAGAGTCTAGATCTAGGTCTACTAGGGCGCTGGTAGACTACGAGAATAAGCATGATAAGGATCGTCCGCATAAACAATGATATCCTTGTGAACGCGGACAAATCTTGTCCTAAAAAATAAGTATCGTCCGCATTTTCGCGGATGATCGTTGGCGATGCGAAAAAAACGCATTCCATGATGCTCCAGGCCATGAATGATGCATTTCTCACTTACGCAGCTAAGAGACTTTCGTGTTATGAACGATAAATCCTCGGGAAGACGGACAACCCATCAAAAGTAGATGGTGAGCAAGGGCTATTTTATTACGCGGAATCCGTTTTTCGCATTGCCAGCGCGCGGATCGGTAATAATAAGGACGATCCTTATTTTTAGGATGCGATTTTGTACGCATTTACAAGGATATCCTCGTTTATGCGGCCCATCCTCATTCTCGCACTAGCGCCCCTACTGTTGACAAGAAAACTAAGTCTACCTCTAGATTTAGATCTACTTTAATTTAGACCAAGTCTGACTTCTATTTTTCCAAGCCAGTGACAGTTCAGGGCAAGAGTAAAAAGGTTAAAAACTTCAGGAACACAATTAAATCGGAGGCAGATCTAGGTCGAATAACACAACAAATTACTTTTTAATTGAAGGATGATCGTACTTACCTCGGGTAATCCTAAACAATTTAGAATCTCACCGGCAAGTGACTTGGCAGTGTTGAATTATTATAATTATGAACGTAACTAAAGCGGACGACAAAAAACTGTGATAACGCCATTACGAACGTGTAGATGGCGCACAGTTTTTCCTTCGTGATAACGCCATTACGAACGTGTAGATGGCGCACAGTTTTTCCTTCATAATCATTTTGCCTTCGGCGTAGACTAGAAGGGATGAGATTGACGGCAGCGAGAGTTTAACACGGCTTGCAAGATTTTCAACATGGATGTCGATTTTGACCCATAATTTCCTTAAAAGGGACCATTAAACGGATTATTTCAATCAAGTTAGTAAGTGGAACCGATGTATTATAGCCTAGGCCTAATGTAAAATTGGATATGCACGAGGTAAAATGACATTTTGGGGGATTTTGGGGGCATAACAATACGGCCGTGGCAAGTTTGTTCATGTTTGTGGGA